TCAGCCAGTACAAAATTGGTGTAATGTGTCTCGGTAAGTCCCACTCATAACAGCACGGCTCTGAGAAAGAGGAAATCGCCGAAACGTCAACCAACAACACCACCACCACCAACAACAACAACAGCAATAACGATAACACATACAAATCTCGCATCGGCTCAGGAAGATCAGTTCATGGGGACATAAATAATTAATGATGGTGTTGCATAGGCCTTAGTGATGTTGTGCACAAGTATTACCTTTTGACTTTTCCACATTGTTTATTATTTTTGTTGTAAAATTTTCTAGTTCGAAGCTTTCTTAAGGATGCCGTTCTCACAGCAATTTGTCTACGATCATCTTCGACGGTTCTGTCACTACGCTCCTAGTCACATAATTCCAACTGTTGGTGCCCCAGAAATGTGACAAGATAAAATCATATATTAACCTAACGAGAGTCTTTCTTATCGACGCCCACCTCTCTGTGAATTTTTTTTCTTTTTGAGAAACTATTACGTCCAGAAATCCTTCGGCATTATTGCGTTTGTGCTTCTCTGGAAACTGACGAACAGGAAGTGAACGATGTCAATTTGGGCCATGGCGTATTTGTTGCGGGTTTTCGGCACCAGCTTTTATTGGCTTTGGAGTTAGTGATGAAGTTGGCCAAATCAAAGCCGATGTGGGGTCGTAATGAGATTTGCAGAATTCGTTGTGGCGACAGCAATTCACACTGGCAAAATAGCGAACAATTTAACATCGTGGAAACCAATTTTCGGTCGACCATTGTGCATTTTCAACGATCTGACAACTGAAGTGAAAACAATTCAGTGGAAGGAAAAGTGCACATGAAATTCAATACATTCAAGTTTTACAATGGCCCGCATGATTTTGATGGCGCATGCGTTCGGGGATGATCGATCCTTTGAATGCTATGAACTTTCTTCTCTATTATTTTTTTATATTTTCTCACCCTAAGGGGTTCTTAATGATCACGAAAAAGGAGAACGGATGAGAAAGGAACACTGGATGATTACTTAAGATTGAGAAACTTCCATAATCAACGGATTTTCATCAAGACGGCATAAAACTACATAATTTGCTCGGTGGTTGATCACGGAAACAATTTTCCAGTATTTCTCTTCGCACTACGGTTGTTAACTCTTCAGAATCATTACTAGTTTGAAAACTTTGCGTTTATGTACAAATCTCTTCGCTTTAGAGGTTTCTACTAGAGATTTATGTTCACACTTGACTTTGTTAAGAAGTCGTTCTACTCATGTTCACTTTCTTCTATGGACCAGCCCGATAGCTGAAACTGTGGTTGCAGTTCGTTTGACACCTCCATTTCCAGGCCAAATGTTTTCGGTCTAGATCCACAATGATGCTGAGATATTTGTAAAACTCCGGAGAGCAGGTGTCTGCTATAGGGAACGAACGCGCTATTACCCTTTCCGGAGACTAACACGTTCACCACCATACCATGCGAGTTCTTAGTTTCGCCTGTCTCTCAGCTGGATCCATCGATCATTGCCATCAGCAATCACCTGTCTACGGGATTGATCTGGGGAGCCAAAATCGCCAATGAACCCAGTTAATTCCTCACCGCAGACACCTGCAGTCTGGGGTATTGCAAATATCTCAGCATCATTGTGGTTGTATCATACATAATCCATAGCTGTGGAAAATTATATTACGCAGCAAATAAAAAAGATGAGTGAAGCAGATTAGCATTATCACTATTCGTTCTGAACTTTTATATCTGTTCCGAGTAACTCAAAATAGGCGGATTTTGTTTGACTAACTATTTACTTCTTCTTGAGGGTGGGTATTAAAGAGAAATCTGATACAGTAGAATAATGATTAGTGTGTGACCTCTGGACGTGAAGTGAAAAGAAATCGTTGGCTCCAATTCATCAAAATTTCATCGTTTTAAAATAAGAGGATTTATAACTTCTAGATTAAATTTTGTAAATGCTAATCATTTTTATTTCAAAGATGCTAAGATGGTGGGAAAATTCGGAACATCAGCTGGGCTTCGAACCAGAGACTACCTCTGCTGGGGGTTCATCTGCTGTCTGGCCAACCAACTTAGATCCATGCTTTGCTTTCCTGTCAGTCAGCCGTATTATTTACTCTATCATTACTATCGGTAATCACCCGTCAATGAAGAAGAATAGAATAGAGGAAAAAAAGTTGAAGCGCTGTTTCCGTCTCAGTCAACAGAGTTCGAATGTTTCTAAAATCTTTTGGAGCGGTCGTTATTTTCTGACAATTTTTATTGTACTCAGTTCATGACCGGTGTTATTTGTTAATGACGGTTGATAACGATGCTGAAACATATCCATTTTCACATATAGTACAGCTCTTAGCATTTTTTCTACCTGTTTCGTTGTCGTGGGCGCGGCCTGTGGTCTGAAACGACTGTACGGTTCCGACTGTCTTTGTCGTTCGTCGTTTTCCATTTTCAGTGACACATTCAGTGTTGGTCTGGAGTGATGTTTCTTGGAATTTCGTGGTGCTCACGAAAACATTTGGAGATTTTCGTTACAGGCAATCGCTTGCCCTTTGAAACAAGTGGTAGTTTTGTTAATTTGGAAATACTGTTTCTCTGAGATGGCTGAAAATTCTGAGATTAATGGATAACCGACCGGTAGAAAGTCGATTTAGAAAGCTGAATCACGCAAACAGAATATAAAATAATGATAGTAGGTGAAGACAGCATAATTTTGGTTGAAATCAATACACTGGTTTCCTTTAGAAAATGATCTTTCGCGAAACATTGCTCTTCGATCCTTGATTACAATTACTTGATATTTGATACTTGAACGGTCCGTCTTCACTGGTTGCGCAGGCTCCAGCACAATCACCATTTTTCGGTGATTTGCTGGTTAAGCAATTGTGGTTTTTTGGAATTCCGAGGTCAGCCTGGTGAAAGCCTGCCCCAGGTCGTCGCCACAGCAGGCAGCCGCAGCCGTTGTGGATTAGAGGGAGATCTGCCACTTTGTTACCAGGACGGTGGTGGATCCCGGTATTGCTTTACTCTTAGCTAGGCTTCCTGATGGAAACGCCGGACTCCTCAGTTTGAGATTCCTTGCCGGGAGGATTAATGCCCCCGCTGTACATCGCATTTCGACACCCAGGAACACCACCCAGCCACGATAAGGCGGTAAACCGTTGAGTGGTGATCACAATTCCTAATCTGAATTCGCCGCTGAAGAGCGGAAGTTTTTTTTTCAAAAGTTGTGGAGCAAGACAAGAGTAGTGAACAGTAGCCTGGATTCTTCAGTTATGCAATGGATCCCATTCACATGGTATTTGGGACCTCCTATTTGTCACAAGTTAAACATTCATGACAGATCTAGAAGACGAGGCATATAGGTAACTATCTTGGATACGAAATCAAAGATTTTGAAAAGCTATTCGGATTACTAGTTAAATCCCTTCCCTATGTTTTACATAAATGTATAGGTAAAATCGAGTGTTTTTCTAGCCCTATTTGCCAATCAAACCCTCAAGTGTTTAAGCAGAGTGACTGGTTTCTTCTAGTGCTTAATATTTGCGCATCCACAAGTGGTTTACGTAGACATTGTCTACGTAGCCTGTCAACATTAACTATCGTAGTGTTACTTACCATTCGCCAATCTTATGTGACTGCCTTCTTAGCATGCCGGATTGAACTCGGTGGTGTTCATAAGGCAAGAGATGCTTCTATACCATGAAGATTCCTAAAAGTACTTTTTCGCATGGTTAGAATCATGCCATAGACAGTTGCTTTTCAACAACCGACTATACATTTATGTAACTGTAGAAGGTATACTGTACTATTTACTAACTGTGCATGTGTACAGTACCATACAACGATTTTATGAACACATTCTTTTTTCTCACATTCAATTCAGTCCATTTTGATGTCTTGATGGAACGTTATGAGGTCCCAAGTACACTTTCCTTTCTTGTCGTTTCTTCGCTATCTCTGTTCCTAGCGAAGGTCCCTTTCGAGCATGGTGATGCTTACGAGAATTATTTCCATGTTCCATAAGTCTTGTCCTGCTATGAAAGGCGATGATTGAACATGTAGATTGTCGCCTTGGGGCGCGATGAAGGCTTACACATCTCATTGTCCAGTCTACCGTTGTTTTCGACCATTTATGGTCATCTCCTCTACTCAAATAGTCAGCCTAACTCTGGTTCGTTTTCGATACGTATTCTCCTGACCTCGAAAACTAGGCATTTTTTGAAAAACCGACCAAATCACTTTCACTTTTTATGTGTTCCGTTTAGATTTCGGGAGTCGTTTTTGAAGTGTTTTCTGGAGATTTTCTGCTGTTGTATTTCCCAAGACCGACTTTATTGTAATCTCGGTGGTATCGATCGATAATTTCTATTCTGTTATAAGTGCCCTTTCTAATATCTGTATTGGAAATCTTATGCTGTCAAACATACAAATCAATCACGGAAAAGTTTTGAACTCGGTGCGATTGATGTGCTGCTCTCACTCTTTTCGCCATAAAGTTTTCTACATATGAATTCCCCTAATTCTTTCCCATGGTCGCTCTCTTTTCTTGAATTTCATGATTACCCTTTGTCTTTCATTACCTTCATCTGTTCATAATTTTCATCCGGAATTCAAGAACCTCTCCATCCTTTTCTTACGAGGTGTTTACACATGTCGTGTTTCAGATTTGTGACAGTATAATAACTAGAACAAATAACGTCGAGGTGACGGAATACTTTCAAGCGCACACAAAACCTCAGCACTGTTACACCGGAAGGGATCTAGATCGAAGCATCAGAATTTTCTACTGATATCAAAGTTTTCCCTGGTTCCATCAATTTGCCTCCTTCTACTGCTTTCGTAGTTGGAGCTCTATTAGTTGTTCTGCTTCGAGTCCAACAAATGGAAACTTCAGAAACAACTTGAATTGAATTTAAGGAATATACACTGTTTATAATAGCTTCGAGTTAAATTAGGGATGCTGAAAAGATGGGTAATAATTTTTAACTGAGGAGTGGAAAGTAAAGTGGTAGTGATGTCCGTCATCTCGAGCATTGTGATAGTTCGATTCCGCTCCGCGCCAACCAAACCTCTCATCCATCCCTCGGGGGTCGGGTAATTGGTAGCAGACTAATCCGGGAAAAAATCGCTTTTTGCAATCCAGTGGGAACCCTCCAGCCCGGTTATCTCATGACTCCAGGGAGAATTGCTCGTCCAGTATTCTACGACATTGAAGACAATTAAAATTCTCAAGCATCAAACGAGGCCACACGTAATGTTGGAAGGTCTTCGTGGACAGTGGATGCGAGGAAACGAATCTAATGTGAGAAGTGCTGGGATCCGCACAGTTGACGTAAAGATGAGTCGTATAAAATATAAAAAATAAAGAAGTTTTTTCACTGAGAAGCACATTAAATGGAAATTTGTATGGGCAGAGCGGCAGTCATACAAATGCTCCGATTTACTGCGAATTTGATTCATTTCCTTTTCGTTTTCCTCACATCGAATTCTTTGTAAATGTATTGCATGAATCCGAATAACCTCACTATATAACAATCGTCGCTATTTTCCTGTTCTACACTCATTTTTGGCACTTTTTCTTTGGCCGAATTCTTCATCACTTCTATTTCCTCTCTTCACACATACTTGTATTATCAATATCACTTGAGCCAATATCGATCCCCAATGCTTTTCAGCGATCAACATGCTTCGCGAAAAGCCACCTGGTACATTCGTCGTTCGCGACTCTAACAGCTTCCCGGGAGCGTTCGGACTCGCACTGAAGGTCGCCACGCCACCTCCAGGAGTTGCACCAGGTGAGAGACGCTTAGTAGCTTATTGATCCTGTTAAATGCCTTAGAACTGCTTTCTTCGGTTGGAAAACAAGGCAATTTTCGTTGCTTGCACGGCTGACAACAAGCATAGCTCATACATTATTAGTTAATATCCTACAAGTCCACTGAATCCGTCGTGAGTCGAGTGGTTGAGACAACTCAGTTTGGCAGCCGTCAGATAGATTGTGGCCACTAAGTCGAGATTTTTATTAGTTGTTGATTTTCTTGTGTTTTCAGAACTAGGAAAGTTCTATAAGAATAGAAGCACATCGAATTTTCCCTCCTTCGCCGAAGATTAAAAGTGGGATTTTTGAGTATTTTACGACCACTGCAGGTCCAATCTGTTATGAAAAGTTTTAGCTTGAATCTTCGAAAATCTTTTATCATTTGTTCTCTACAGCTTTGGATTAGTGTGGTTGTCGCATTAGACGGGAAATGGTCTGGCTGTTAGCCCTTGGTCGGCCCGGAAAGTATGATTGCTTATGAATGAGATGTCATGTATTAGTGATGAATGTACGAGCTTTGGTCGCTATATGCTCGTATTTGACGAGATAATTCCTCAGGGAATCCATTACTATCAGCGAGGTCGTTGTGATTCTGAAGGCATCTTGTGGTTGGGTGTTGGAACCGGGGTACGAGAATCTCAAGAAAAACTTCTGATGTTAGCCTTGAGCTTCTCTTTTTCTCATTTTTACTTACAGAGTGTTTCGTATTGACTGGGCGCCTGTATCTGAAATATTTCAAGTGGATAGTGGCTGGGAAACAGTGAACAGTATTGGTTTAACGTGGTTCATAGTCTGAAGTTGAGATCGGTGTCCAACTAATAAGAGGTTAACCAGTGTGTTAACAAACGTCGATATCCCAACAATTTTCGTTATGTCATATGCTTTCAAAGACGTTCTTCTAAGATTCCTAGCATACCAATAGGGCTACAATTCACAAGCGCAATGTCTCGCTTGGATGGAGCAAGTTTTTGTTCTGAGTTATTTACAACACAGTAGTTTTCCGTTGTGTCGTAGTGGTTTCGTCGATAAGTGACCGTCAGCGTGATATGACTTCGGCGGAAACGAATTCCTTAGAGAAAGAGAGCCGTGATTGATGTCTATTTTGCTCGCACAAAGCAACATTAGGTCCACTATTTGGTATACGTGCCTTTCAACACCAAACTATAGTTTAGTTTCTGATCGGTACCAGATTTTTTTAAAACACCACTACGGAGTTGTGTCATGCCTTTTCGAGCGATGCAGTCCGATGTTTGAAGTGTGAGAAGTACGAAGAACAGTTTAATATTTTCAGTGTGGGAACTTGAGCTCTTTTTTTCAGAGATGTCTATTAATATTCTTGAGGTTACTCATGGTTTAGAAGGGCATCTTCATGGCCTTGTTGAATCAAATGGATCAATAAGTACTGAATTTGCTCGTGGATACTTAAGTTACCAAATCAACTCTGGAAGTGTTGTCGTTCGTGTTGGTTGAATTTCTTCGTCGCATTCGTCATCACAAGTGAACGAATAAACGGCAAGAGCGCATTCCGTCGACATTTCAGTCGGTGTACCACAAATATTTTATAAATCCATTCCAACTCTTGAGAAAACAACTTTTTTCACCATAATTCTTAAGAGCTGCTCCAAAAGTTTTTCTACTTACTTGCTTGAGAACTTGAATGGCCCGTCCTTCCTGGTTGTGCGAGCCCCAGCACAATCTTCATTTTTTGGAGATTTGCTGGTTAAGCCATTGTGTTTCCCTGGAATCCCGAGGTCAGCCTGGCCAAAGTCTGCCCCAGGTCGTTACCACTACAGGCAGTCGCAGCCCTTGTAGATCAGAGGGAGATTTACCACTATGTGACTTTGATAACAAGACGGCGATGCATCCCGGTATTTGCTCGCTCTTAGCTAGGTTCAAGCCCGGATGGAATGGATGGAAACGTCGGACTTATTCTCAGCACGGGAGGCCCACCTGCCGGGGTGAATCCCCAGCTGCACATCGCAGGCCGACACCCAGGAACACCTCCCAGCCACGATGATGCGGTAAACCACTGGAAGGACAGTTTTTTTATGATGATTTGTTTCGCGAGATGCATTCAGTATCCTCGAATTTCATTAGACACCTCAAATTGAGGCTGTCCCTTATCGTCTAATTTGCAACGATAGTCTACATGATTCATAGCTGAAACGTCCATAACTCACTAGCTAACGGATTTTCGTGCTGAAGAAATTCCAGAAATGATGACGAATTCTTTAGAAATCATTCATGATAAATTCAGTTTGGGAGGAATGGATGAGCTCGATACATTTCGAGTAGCGAGCGTTCTTTGCAACGGGTAGAAATGGAAAAAGAGCCACAGTCATTCTTGTGGCTGAAGCTGTAGCTACCACCTTGCACTTGGATTTACATTGTGCAATATTCATAGTTTAGACAGTTGTTTATATAAAAATCGCTGACAATCACATATTACCAAAAGAAGGTTTCGAAACACCAGTACACTGGCCCACTTATATTTCTTTTTTGCTTCGTCTCAAAAATCAAGAGAGAATTCATGGTTAACTTTTAGATACAAAAAAGCACTAGCTTTCAAGTGACGAGTTTCCAGACTCGGCGTTCTGCTTTGTACTTCCTTTCTAGAAACATATAATAGCCCATAGTTATGTTGCGATGTGCTGTTGTCTAGCAAGACGTTTAAATTTAGAACGCAGAAAGAGAGTCTGTGCTAGTATTCAGTTGTCAAAATTCTCTCCTTTATCCAAAAACAGATGTTATGTCATAGGGAACGATAAAAGAAAAAAGAAAGAAAAGAAGAGTAAATGAAAATTGTAAAAGAAAAAAATGTGTTGTCTCATTTTCACGTGTCGGAAAGCCTCGGTTTTTGATTACGGTGGCGCTGATTTGGTTTGGTTTTCATTGACTCGTCGGTTGGTCGGTGTACTTGTCAGTACGGGACGTTTTAGCAATTGGCCCATTTCCACTCAATCACATCTGGTTTACAATGTGCCAATTGACAAGTGCATATATCTCATTAAGGTTTCTTGGCTTTTCATATGCATTACATTGGAACATTTCGGTGTTCCACTTGCTTATTAAATAGTAGATTTTGTAAAGGACAGAGTTTACCTTCTAAAATAATGCGTTACTTACTAGAGCAACGTACTTTAGTGGTACGTTACCATTCGCTTGATTACCTCTTCTCATTTTCTGAGGTCTATTCTAGCGCTGTTCCCTTTCCATATGTGGTCAACTCTCAACATCATTGGTTGGCCGGTCTATTTTTCGATATTTTTCTTCAATGAGCAGACACGAGGTTGTTATTATAGGATTTATTAGGATACAATAGCTGACGTTTAGGCGGTTTCGCCTTCTTCAGAGCCGTTTATTTGTTGTATTTAAGTTAGTTGATGGATAGCAGCCGCACAGTAACACATGGGCGGTCTATTTTTATTTCACTGTTTATATTATCTTGTACCCAGGGAATTATATTTAAGGTTTTTTCCCATTTATTCTTCATTGATCCTCCACGCTTCATTTAGCTCTACCCAAAGAAATCCACAGTTGTATAGAAGTTTTCATTAATATCTATGAGCGTTTCGTAGAAATTGTAGAGACTTCATTGTTCGTTTGAATTCGGTGCTTATCGGCTACAGCGAGTTGATGTCACCTGAAGTTGCTAAGATATCTCAATCCTGTTGAATTTGTTGAATTTCAGGCGACGGAACTGAGCTTGTTCGACATTTCCTGATCGAACCTTCACCAAAAGGTGTGAAGCTGAAGGGATGCAACAACGAGGTTCCTATTTTTTCTGTATTAATTCCAAAGATTTTAAGAGAGACCTATCCTTTTACTATTTGAGCTCTTTTTTTCACTATATGACAAGGAGACTATATATTAATACATTGGTCAAGCCAGTGTGATGTTTTCTACCATGGTTGATTAGAAATCCTTATAAAAATTTATTTATCCAACCCTACAATTTCTTGAATGGGCGCGTGTAGTGCAGTGGTCGGAGGCGCCCTGCAATACACACGTGGAGTCGATCTCCGCACCCATGGCTCACCAAGCCTTCCTTCCCTCCAGAGCCGTAAAATTGCTTCCAGACTTGTCTGGTAGGATAGCAGCACTGACTCGGCACACCGGTAGGCCACCGCGAGTCATTGTAAAGACCAGATATGCATTCAATAACCTCCAAGTGATGCTTAATGAGGTCGAATGCATGACGCATTCTTCAGGGATTGATCGACGCCGAGAATCAGAGCCAAAGTTGAGTTAATCTACAATAATGAAATTCATTGTCTTAGAATCGGTTGTTTCCATAGTATTGGTAGTTATGTACGAATCAGAAAGAAACGAATGAAAGACAGGAAGAAGAGGATTTGAAGTGACGAAACGATTTCAGCCAGTGTTTGGGTCGTTGTCAGCCCTCGTTTACCAACATTCTATCACACCGTTGGCATTGCCAACTAAATTGCTACTTCCTGAATACGATCCGGCCATCACTCCCGAGCATATCTCGGCCACTCAAGCACTTCTGGAACAGGGTGCAGGTTCGTTAATGATCAAACATTCAGTGTGTCCAGGATCATTAGGGCCCTTTTGGCGGTGCACAATAGTGGAAACTGATTTTTCTTAATAAAATTTTTATGCCAAAGAACTCTGTCGGGCAAAAAAGAAAGTTTTGCATTCGAAACCATTGTGGAAGAAGCTGAAAACGCTTTCATTTTATGATTTTTTGTGAGATATTTCCATTAAATGTGCTCAAGATATAGTTCCTGTCCGGAGCACCGGTTACCGTAGAGATTTGTTTTTTTTTGACTGTCTCCAAGTGCTCGTAAATTTCTTATAGTCAATAACTAATCCACGAAGGATCGTATCAGGCATGAGTGTCGATTTGGTGTTTGGAATTGGTTCTAAGGCATTTTTTAAAACTTTTACGTCAAGTGAGCACGAAAATCATATAGGAGAATAGGGCAAAACACTTTCTTGGAAAGCGCTTCTTCTTAGAACATCAGTTTTCTGCAACGGAGTTTGACTTGGTTTCCAATATGTTTTTGTAATAAAAATTTTAAGAAACCAACTTACGAATATTCCATATATCCGGTTAAGGAGCCTACTAAGCTTATGAATTTTTGTCTTAGAAACTCGATAGTTGTGTTTACTTAAACATAGTCGCCATTTGGTGTCTCTGTTGTTCAGAAACCAAACACCAAACAGTGTCGTTGACCCCCAAGTTTCTGACCAGTAGAAGAGCTAGGGAATGGGCTGCTGCTTAAATGAAGAGCTCTGCTTTAATGATAGATATTAGAATTGTTCTAACAAATAGCGATTATTCAGTATTTTCTTCTTAGCATGGAAATTTGCATGTTTCGCCACTGAAGGGGTTTGCTTTGAGTACAAAAGCTCATAAAAACGTTGAACGCTCAAAATCCATTTATAACACTGATGAATTCATATTCTTTTTTTTTCTTCTTTTCTTTTTTTAAGTTAATTTGCTGCAAACCAAGTTATTAATGATCTAAGGATCTTTTATGATAGTGGAGTTCAATGCTTATAATATTTGGTTATTCACAAGAGAACGACGGCCCGCCGTTATGTAGGTGTGGTTAAAACAGTTAAAACGCTGATAATATACAGCTGTTTTCGCACCTGTATGGTAAAATGTCAGGTGTGTAAATCGTTTCTTTTATTGCTTTTGAAAGTCCGGGTTAGGGTCATGAGAGTTTCATAGAAGATCTCACTACATTGTTATCTGCCTATGAGTCTTAAGTCAGTCTAGTTCAGCGTGTTGTTAATTTACTGAAATTTGTTGAATCACTGACCCAGAAGTCATATGTTGCAAAACATTCCCGGTCTAATCATTCACCTTTTCAGCTTGTAATGTTGCCTACATTGGTAGTATGGACTGTGAATCGCTGACAGGAGGCGAGTGCGTTCGACGTGCAGTGGCTGGAACCGTCGAGGATACGCAACGGGGAATCACTCGGCCGGTGTCCGTCCATTTCAAGGTCTGAACGATTATGAAACTTTATTTTTATCGAATCTATCAAATTTTTATACCACAGATAGAAGTAAAACTTTTCAAAAAGAGAAGGCTTCTTTTGGTTGACACGTGCTGAGCCGTCTTTATCTGACGTGTAGAGTGTGAGTAAAAGCTGAACTATGAGTATATGATCTTCTGACTAGAAGTGGTCCTCATTGATTCAATGCTTCCATCTTGTGCTCGTCACACTTTCACCTTTCACACTTTTTCTTTAAAGGTTTCATCACAAGGAGTTACTTTAACAGACAACACAAGGAAGGTATTCTTCCGTCGTCACTTCCCCGTAAATTCCGTCATATTCGCCGGAATGGACCCGTCAGATAGAAAGTGGGTCAAGCTTTACCTTTTGGTTACATGGTTGCAAAATCCGGCTCAAGAAGCTGGACTTTCGTGAAGGAATTGAAGCTAGCCATCAGAGTGTAGTAAAGGCTTTCCTTCACTGCAAAAACGGATAGGTTTAACTTTTAAGGACTTAATTCAATTATAGATTCGATAACAACATTGTCATTGGATTCCATGAAGCATGCATGAGAAGCGCTCGGATATTTGCAATTGTAGCTAGAAAGGTGAGCTTACTTTTGTGAACTACTACTATTTTACTCTTTAGACATATTTTTAATCTTCAAGTAGTCTATTTATCTATATAGGCTTATTAGTCTCATAACCTTTTTTATTCAAAATATACGAGTTTCTACATTTCTTACGTTTATGTGCTTATATTTGGCCATATATATATGTACATATATAAATATATATATATATATATATAGATTATGTATTACAGGCAGTAAATAAAAGATATTGTAAATTCGATTACAGCTCCAGCTTAAATGGGTTCAATGCCGATGCTCTCCAGATTATTCCCGTTCACGGGTGATTGCTGTTAGCATCGTTTGAATAAAACCTGGCTGAGAGAAAGGCCAAGCGGTCTCGATTGGTATAGTGGATAGCACGTGAATTTCCGGAAAGGGCAATCCCAACTTCGAAGCTCACCTGGAGTTCCTACTTTTGCTCATATCTTAACCTCATCGTGGTTGCATTTCAGTAATGCCATACTGTGGAAAAAATTACTTTTTTCGCAAGAACCATTATCACGTCCAATTTGTTGATTCCGGCACTTCTCGCATTTGATTCATCTTCCTCATCGTCCACGGTGGTCTTCGAGAATTTCGCATGCTGTTTCAGCCGCTGCTTGAGGAGATCATCTTTCTTACGAATGTCGTAGAATGGTGGTCGGGTCAGCTCTTTTTACAACCTTGGAAATAGCCAAGTTGAGGCGTTCTTAAGTGGATTGGAAGAGCATAACTACCTTTAGAATGTAAGGAATTGAGACTGTAAAGGACAAAGCTCCCGGCCTTGATCAATCCCTGAGGGATGCGTCATGCATTCGACTTCATCAAGTATCGCTGGAGGTGATTGAATGCATATCGGCCTTTACAATGAATCACAGTGGCCTACCGATGTATCGAGCCAGTGTTCCTATCCTTCCAGACAAGTATAGTACGAATTTGCCGATCTCGGAGGGATGAAAGGCTTGGTGAGCCATGGACGGGGAGATCGATTCCACGTGTGTCGCAGGGCGCTTCCGACCACTCCGCCACCTGCGTCCTTAATCTGAGAGTATTTGATGAATATTATTATACTTTACAATACAAGTATGCAATATAAGTTGCAATATAATGGTTGTTAAAAATTGATTAGTTTGTTAGTGAGCAAAGACATGAGCGGTTTCAATGACATTGCTTTTGTTTTATTTTTCCTAACACGATTTCGTTGATGTTTGCAGCCATCGTCTGTGGAGAACGCCTGCCATGTTTTTGCGGAGCTTGAGCCGGAACAGCCAGCGACGGCAGTCGTGAACTTCATCAACAAGGTTCTGTTCGCAAGTAGGCGAACCTGATGCAGTGTCATACGTGCTCGAAAATCGTATGCTCTTATTTTCTTCTTACACGGAACAAGTATGATGCTATTCATAGACATCTGAGCCGCTCTAAATGATTAGATTCATCCGCCTCAACTAATGTTTTCTAACGAGAAGTTGATAGAAACTGCTAACTCTTTCAAGGAGCTCGCAATATGGTAGCAGCGAGCAAGCTTGACTGTGTACTCTCTGATTGAGTACGATCTGGCTTTCACAGCAAGCAAATGATGTTTAAGTGAAGTCAGCCAATAGCTGAAAGGATTGTACGTCGTTTCATTGAATGTGTTATTCTATATAGCGAAGATTTATGAACTCTAGCAACATACTGTACAGTCGCTATATCATCAGCCTTGCTCAGAATTTAATAGAACGTTTATAATTTATTTGATATATAAAAATGCCTAGGTCATCTTAGTTCTTTTCAAGTCAGATATGCAAGACTGCGACAGCGAGTGTTTTTTCTTCCATGTGCTTTTTCTTCTAGAACTATCGGTGCTTCACAGCTTTTATATTGAAAGTATTTCTTGTTATGTTTACTGAATGGCTTGACTTTTTATGGTAGCATAATGATGTTGAGAACGTTACTCTTCTCGTGTGTGATTGGTTTGCCCCAATAACAACGTCTCATATCTGAGTACAAAAAGTGGCCTCTTTCTCGACGGACCAATCGCACTAGAGAATCAACTCTAACGTCATCATCATTCTCTCATCACTCAGTTTCTTCCACGAACCGATTCATTCGTAATTTTATATGAGAATTGAGATCCCTTTAGATTCTTTGTGCAGTGCACGTTATTTTCTTTTAGTGTACCGATTGGGGTACGTTGACGTGAAGGTCGTGTACTACTTCGTACATCATGCTGTTCTACACCAATCCGTTTTTTTTCTTTTCTAATTTACCTTTGTTGCCAATAACTCTAAGCCTTATAGAGTGTCTTGCGGTGAACTCGTTTGCTGACTTTGTGCTTAGGACTCTGGTCAGCGTTCACTAACATGGTAGTCGAGCACAGATTTTATTCCCTTTACATGTATATATCTGAGGCTAATAAAGTACAATCTCTATCTAGATGAAGCAGTTTTTTGTTTACTTGTTTTTGTGTTTAATAATTCAGGATGCGTATAAAGTAACGGTAAAGATGCCATACAGTATATTCGTGGTATATGATATGGTCGAACTCCGCACTGGATGAGCCATCATTTCGGGTCTGCCAAGTTGGTACCAGAATTGATTATGGAATGTCGCATGATATGTGTAAAGATTAGGACTACCTGTAATGACGACTTGGGAACGCTTTAGAACTCTGTTCCTACGTTAATAACGTGAAATGCGTTCGACTATTATACGCGGACATTCATGCAGAAAGAATTTGTTGAAGTTACAGCCAAACGTATATGCAAAAACGAAGGATTTTTAGGGTCGCGGATAGATGTGTGATGATGAGTGAAATCAAGAAAGTGCTGGGTTATAAATATGGGTACTGATCATGTTATCACTTTTTATCAACTGCCCATTATTTTTTCATGGCAAAGTATGATGTGGAATATTACCACAGCGGTGCGTAGACATCTGCAAAACTAAGACCACAGGTGTTTGCAGTAAGAACTGAAGTCGCTACTTACCCCTGCCGGAGCTAGCGCGTTCACCACCGAACCATGCGGGTTTTTCGTTTAGCCTTTCTCTCACTTTCTTTCTTTCACCAACCATGTAATTCACTATTTTTTCGATGAGTAAACACGATGTTGTTACTTTACTCTTTATTCGCAAAATAACTGACTTGTAGGCGGTTCCCACCTACTTCAGAGCCTGGAAAGGTCAGGTTAGTCGCAGTCTTGCCAGCCAAACATCTCCATAGCCAAAGCGGAAAAATCACGAAACCTAGATTTTAATCGTACCGAAAATAAAATAGCTTCCCCGCACACTCACCTCTTTCTATGACTCGTCCACTGAGTATTTCATGTAGAGACCAACCACACTGAGTTCACTTGGAAGCGTAGAGCGTTTCTTCAAAAGACTACAGATGTTTTGCGCATTAAAGTTTTCGATTGCTACACGACTAGAGCAACTATTACCTTAAAACCTTTCCCATTATCTCTCTATCCCATGCGTGGGTAGTGGAGCATTCGGTTTAACTTTAGTTGTATCGGCTGGGTGTTTTGTTATACAGAAGCACAAATATCGCTACCCATTTCGTTAATGTATTGGTGCCTCCACTGCTTACAAGCGATAAGATAAACCGTACCCCAAGTGATGCTGTCGCCGTCTCTACCGTTACGGCGACCTGTACTATTTTGCATTGTACATGGACGGCCATACAGGCGGTTGCGAATTAACTGGTGTCTTAGAGTGCTCATTGGTATAGTATTTCAGTCACTGTTTCCAAATTCTCTAGTGCGACCCTTCTTAAGCAATGTTATATAGCTGCACTTATTTTATTGGAAGTGGAAGGAGGAAAAACAGGACTTTGCTCTCGCCAAAATTGTCATTTGGGGGTGTGGTTTTGCCTCTACCCCTATCCAGAGGAGTACAGTTTCGTAGGCATTGGTTATGGCTATTTGCCGACCAGTTTTTAAAGATTCTTCTTTCTGCTCTCTTCGTGTGCACACGCTGGAGGCTGTTCGAAACATATTCCTTACAAACGCCCTCTTGATGTGTGAGGAGGGAGAGCAATGGTATTGAACTACTATATTTTTACTACCTGTTTTTGGCACCACTTCGTGAAGTAAGAGTATTCGAATAGGTTAATTAGAAGTTTCAGAAGTGGGACCTAGTTTCTTAACGGCTTTTGTCGAATAAACTTAATGTATTCTAATTCTCTATTCAGTATTTTTTTACATTTGTCCATTCCCACTCTAACCGCATATACAAGAGCAATTCGTCGGTGAATTTAAAGTGAAACCAAATACGGCACTACGCACATAGGACAAAGAGACATAACGGAAAAAATTTCGAAGTGAAAATCACTATTCTCGCATAGGAATCCCAAACCTCAGCGCGTAAAAATTTTGCAGGGTTCTAGATATGTTCCATACCCGAAACTGAACCGACGCGAGAAATACCTTATTACCAAACGCGATCTTAAAGATTATTTAGGCCCTTATTTTCATATAAGAGAGACACATTATCCATCCATGAGAATTTTGTGCCTTTGGTCTCTAGATGAGATACTCAGTGGAGTCATTGAGAGCGGAGTGTGTACGAAGATGCTACTTCGGTTTCAATGTGATTGAAATCTTGGTTTCGTGATTTTTCTGTTTTGGTTATAGAGGCATTTCGCTGACTATATTGCGGTCAACCTGATCTTTCTGTGTGAATAAAAAAAGGATGAAACTCTCGGTGTTAATTCCTGAGGGATGCGCCATGTACTGGACTCCATTTAGCATCGTTTGGAGGTGATTGAATGCATATCCGGCCTTCACAGCGACTCGCGGTGGCTTGTCGATGTATCGAGCCAATGCTCTCCTCCCAGACAGGTGCACGTCATGGTAAGCCAGAATTAATTGCCTGTATCCTACCTTTTCCAATGATTTATCGCCTAAAACCACAATGTTGCTGAGATATTCGCAAAGCTTGGATGCCAGGCCAAATTCGAACCTGCGATTGCCCTTATCGGGAGCTTACGCGCTATACACCACACCAGCCGAGTTCTTGCTCTGCTTTCTCCCAACCAGTTTTTTCCCAAACGGTGATATCAGCAATCGTCTATCAACTGGAATGATGTGCGGCGCACGAATCGCCACTCTACCTGATTAGGCTCAGGTTGTAGTCGAAATCATAATGCTTGACTTTTTATTTACTGGTATTGTTTCTTCACGGCAGAGTTTACTGGGAAATACATGATGGGCTGTAAATAAAAAGTTAGGCACTGTGATTTACCGCATAATCGTAACTGGTGCGGTGATGTCAAGTGCAACGATTAGGTCAGTGCCATAGGGTCCCGTAACGCTAGTAGCAACATTTTAGCATAAGGGGAAAACAAAGTGCTTAGCTATTTAGTAATAAAGTTACCTCAGTAATCCGTACATTAATTGATGGTACGTAGCGTAGAGCGACATGCAACTGATGAATGGTGATAACCTCCTTTAACCCTGAGTAGAAGATGATTGCGTGCTAAAATATTGTGGGCGCAGTTAACCGAAAACGAAGCGCACCCGGCATCTATGAAGTGTGTGAACGCCATAAGTTACAAACAGACTCTTGTGAAGAAAGTACAAGAAGAAAAAGACAAGCTGTATATGACGACAGTACTCCTAATGATTAAAAAAATATTAATCGCGCTTTAGCGAAAAGTGAGCCTCACTCGCAACAGTACGACTCTGAGGAAGGCCAAATCTTCGAGACGTCAGCCATCGACCAACAACACCGACACCAACGGCAATAATAACCACAATGACAACGAAGACCTATACCAAACTTGCATCAGCTTAGGAAGATTACTTAAAAGATGATATAAATAAATATATCATCTGTCTATGCCGAGGTTTATAGAAAATCCTCCTTTTGGGTTCTTATGACTTGTCTGAATTGTCACCAATCTCCACCAAAATATGCAAATAACAGATATTCCGTTAACGTCAAAAGTTTGCGCGGTTAAACAAAGAAAGGTTAACAAAAAGAGCATGTACAAATACTAATTTTAGAATCTTAACCATTGTATTTACTGCTTATTCTTTTTTATGGCAGGGTATGTTGCGAAATATAACTTCTATAATGGTGAGATATTTGCAAAACTTCGGACCGCAGGTGTCTGTGGTAGGAACGAACGCGTTATTATCCTTTCCGGGGAGTAGCGCGTTCACCATCACATCATGTGGGTCCTTCGATAGATAGATGACAGTGATCGATAGAACTAGGGGAGAGAGAGGACCAGCATGGTGTGGTAGTGAACGCGCTACTCCCCGGAAAGGATAACTGATTTCAGAATTTCCGCTGAAGAAAAACCACACCGAATTGTTCGTTTTAAAATTTATTTAATAGTCGT